AAAACATTAGGATTGGTGGTTGGAAAGGTAATTCGGGTGAGAATGAGTCTGTGATGCATTGAAATTCTCCAATAGTATTTCGAGATCAGATTTATGGAATTCTTGTGATTCCTCAAAATACTCAGAGTGCGGGTTGTAGAAAAAACTTGGGTGATACATAGTAATTGGGACAAGATTCGTAGATGCAAAGACTCGCTTCGGGAGTGAGTATTTGGCATACAAATCGAAAGAGGGTTTCTGTTGCCTAGTCTAAACGCGCAACAGAAGAATCGTACCTAATTGACTAATCAGTCCCCGGCAACGACGCCAAAAACTTGATCGGGACTTTATGAGTCTATCGGGATACTAACTGCAAGTATACAGTTTAGTCGTTCTAGTTTTAAAAGATTATCGAACCCACAGAGACTGAGGATCAATCGCATACGATCTAATGTTACAGTTTGTTTAACTAAGCGATGAATATTCGATTTTAGGGGGGAAACAGTTTAATTAAAAATAATAGTAATATTTATACCAGTATGTGATAGTCGGACTTCGGGAATTCGGTGAATCGCTTGGCCTATAAAGTATTTCGGTAAAAACTAATTGTTTAAAAACCTGAGACATACACTCTCGTGTTCATGAAATAAGTTATGCTACTAAACCTAGTGGATGCACTTTAAATTTAATAACACTTTTTGAAAACAATTTGAGTTTAATTAATTTATTAAAACACTCTCGTGTATTTAAAAATTAATGTTTTGTTACCACTATCTGGGTTGAACCCCAGCTCTCGCATGCAGGTTCTTGCCTTAATTAACTTCCCACTCTCGTGGCAAAATCGTGTTAATTAACCTCTCACTCTCGTGACAAGGATAGTTAAATTAATCTTGGAAATTGGAAACCAGAAATTGTTTTATAAATAAATATTTTTGGCCAAGGTATCACTGAATTCTTTCGGTTCTTAAGAGTCACATACCGGTACGAATAATTTAGCCGGACATAATAGATTTAACAATAATGCAATTCAAAATATAATTCATAAAAGTAATTGGCATAATACAAAAAATGAATAAATATTAATTGCAATAAAAACCTGGAATTAACGTTGCTATGGTAATCTTGAAGTGTTACAATATTCCTTGCAGCTTGATTGAAGTAAATAAATTGTGTTAATTCTTGAATGAAGAATTAACACCTAAAACTAAAGCTTGAAATAATATTGGAAGTAGAAATTACAGTATGTGGAAAAATGCTCTAAAACAAGGAAATAAAAATAATTGCAAAAGGTAATAAATTTGTTCTGGGAAAATTCCTTCGACCCCGGTTCCCTTTGCACTACCACACATATATATAGGAGAGAATATAGCAGTTGAAAGAATCTTGAGAAAAGGCTTGAGTGGAGGAAATATAGGGTGCATGGTTACTGACTGGAGGGAAAATAGGAGAACACTTCTTCCCTCACGTTGCCCACGTCTCCACCAATTCACAACGTTCATCTTTTCGCGCGTGACGGTCGTCACAGGTGGGTGACGGTCGTAATGAGCTTAAATAGCGCATTATGCTCGTCAGTGATGTGTGACGAGCGTTCTTTCTAGTTGGGGAGGCGTGACGGTCGTCACAGCTACAAAATCTACAGACTTTGCAGATTTGGTTCTTTCTCCTTTGTTTCTTGGTTAGCTTCCTTCATGTGGTCCTTTTTCACTGATTTGAGTTGACACATGTTGTACCTGTGAAAAGACACAAAAACTTGGAATAATCGGGAGTTAGACGACTCAATGTATTATAAAAATCGGTAAAAGCGTAGTAATTATATGATACGATTTCTCGTTATCACAATTCACCTTCCTTGAACCTCACTGAAGCTAACATAAGAAGAATTAATCTTTAAGACTTCCTAAATCGTGCTAGCCAAGTCCAGTTTCAGAGCTCTACAACTTAACTTCAATAGGTAGATTCCTTCACCAATTCTCTCAAACTTTGATACTGTTATGAAGCTCTCATCATCCTAATTTAGTCGCAACACTTGTTTTCAGCTGGAAGTTTGTTTTGGCCATGAAATTTCAAATCCCTATTCAAAACTTCTTTTCAAAAACGACTGAGCTACAGTTTATATAAATTTTCCGCGAAGGTACCATTGGAATCGTCTTAAAGAGACGAAGCGAATGGTACCAGTCTCGTGTCCTAATTTTAGAGTTTCTGGTTGCAGATTCGTTGGCTGGAGGTTGAAGATGACCAACGTGTCATCTATCAATCAATGAAGGCGTGCCACGCATTTTTCAAAATCTGATTTACATAAATGATTCCATGCTTTATTCAGTAAAGACCATGATATGCATAGCGCATCTGATCCATTGGATTAGCTTACTAACGTGTTTTAACTCTCATCCATTGGTCCACTTTTTTTTTTGACTTTATTTTATTTTCTGATTTTTATATTTAAATTGTTTTAAACTTCAAAAAATCTTAGAAAATTCCTGTTTTACTTCAAAAAATCTGAAAAAATTATGAAAAATACTTTTGATTTTTCTTTTTCTGATTATTATTTTTTCACAATTTTATTTTGTTTTTTGATATTTTTTATAATTTTTCACTTTATTTGAATTGTTTAAATGTTTAAAAATACTTTTCTTAATTTTTAAATTCTAAAGAAAAATTATATGGAAGGATCCAATGCCCTTTTGACAAATATCAGTGACCTCGTTTTATTTTTATTTCTGACTTTACTATGTTTTACAAATTTTGGTATTTTTTTCCTTTTTTTTTAATTTTAAAAATAGTTTCTGACTTTAAAAAATTGCCAAAAAATTTGTATAAATATTTGAGCTCATTTCTAATTTTTCTATGGTCTTAGTTGATTTTTCTTGGTTGTTTTGAATACAATTTCTATTTTTTTCCCCTTTATTTTCATTTAAAAATCTTTTTCTTTATTTTAAAATATTATTTTATTTTGTATTATATTTTGGCTGATCTTGGACTATGAAATTTTGATCATAAGCTTTATTAACATCATTGGATCCATGGTGTAATACGGTGAGAGAACTGACTTGGTTGTTTTGCGTTTTATTGCAATTGTTGCGGTTAGCAAGAGTCGCCACTGACTTTTATTTTATCCAATAAAGGAAAGGGTAAAAAGAACAGGAAAGACATTTCGAGAATTTTTCTTGAGTTTGGGGGGGGGGGAGGGGTAGATTATGAAAAGGGAAAGTGTTAGCACCCTTTTCATCTGTAGTTATCTACGGGCTCTTAGTTGCTAGCTCACTTTGAAAATGCTTTGTTTGAAAATGTGTTTGTGATTGGTTTTGAAAGTAATTTTGAAAAGTTCCTTCGTTTAGGGGAACTTTGTAATGATTCTCGTCTCTATAAGAATATATACAAAGTGTTGACTTTTGAAAATATTTCGTTTTGAAAGTGTTGGTGTGTTTGAAAGATGTTCCTTTGAAAATATTGTGAGCAAGCAACTATGAACGTTCTACCTACTCAAAAAGTCTTTGTTCACTTCCTCCTCCTTTAGATATTGCTATCTTACCATTTATTGGTAAGAAGCCCTATCATTGGATGTGAAGGGACAGGCATGGGTTAATCGTACAGTCATAGAAGGCAACTTGTGAGATGCTTTTAGCAATTGTCATAAGGGACTAAGATCGTATTACCGAAGGCAACATCGAAGGGTCATCGAGGGATTACGATGTTTTTAATCGAGGGTCTTTGCTAAAGTGTTCCATATTCGAGGGACATGACTGTTTTTTCGAGGCAACAAGCGGGGTTAACCCTAGAGGTGCACGTGTGTGAAAAGTGATTTGTTTTTGGTTATTTTATCTTGAAGTTTATGGTTATCTATCGTTTGATTTTATATCTTATCATACACACCTAATTACTATATCGTATAAAGAAAAACAGTAAATTGCGAAAATTAAAATTCTACACTATTACAGAGCTTTCGGGAATGGGGAATACAAATTTACAAATAGGGATGGATCGAATTGACAATATGATTAAAAGTCTGAATAAGCAATCAATACAACCCAATCGAAATGAAAAAATGAATATTTAATTAAACTAAAACAAACTATTAAATAAAATTAATTAGTGAAATAATTAATAATATCAAAATAATTTTTTTGGGGTTTTGTTTGTGATTAAAATTAAAAAAATAAAAATAAAATTCTATTCTATTATTTTCTGATATTTTTTTATCATGAAGGAATTAAACAATTTAAAAAATATTAACTAAACAAAAAAAAAGTGCTATTTAACTAAATTATTCACAAAAATCCCTAACTAAATTAATTAAGAAAACTAAATAACTTTGAAATTATATTTTTTATCTAATTGAATATTTAAAACAAGAAAATATATTTTTTTGTATTTATATAATAAAGAAAAATAGTTTAAGCAAAGAATACATATATATATATATATATATATATATATATATATATATATATATATATATATATATATATATATATATATATATATATATATATATATATATATATATATATATATATATATATATATATATATATATATATATATATATATATATATATATATATATATATATATATATATATATATATATATATATAAAAGGAAAAAGGAGGAAAGAAATGGGCCTGAAATGTAGTAAAATTGGTGGTGTAGAAAGGAGATTTGCTTGGCCCAATAGCAATCAGGAATCTGGTACAAAACAAAAATTTGGGAGGTATGAAACGAAATTCATCCAGGTCCATTCAAGAAAAGCCCATGTTGTTGGCAGATCTGGTGCAGTCGGTCCATGCGTGTACTGATCTTGGGGAGCATCCTCACCATTGGATTTGTCATTGACTTCAGGTATTCTTGATGAAGGATGATGAGTATGTTGGCACACCGCAAGGACGTGTGATTGCATACATAGGACCGGAAATGGTGTCACCACCGGTCGGTGACACCTGTCCCACCTGAAACAATAAACAAATGATAAAACCACAACATAATTCTTTGTTCTCTCATAACATTCGACCATCTCCCTATCTATGGTCTCTCTCTCTCTTCTGAACATGTTCCACCGGAAAACTGAACCATCTGGAGAAGGCGGCGGCGCACGGCGGCCGCCACTGTCTTCTCCAGCGACCCTCAACCGAAACCCCCAATCTGATGAAGCAAGACCCCCAGAGTTCAAATTTGGTGTCTATTTTAGCAAAGGAGTAACAGATCTTCCTAAATCTACAAGGGTAAATGAAACCCTAGGTGTTCGGATTCAAACAAAATTGGTAAATCAAGCTATGAGGATGATGCGGACGATGATGATGAAGATGAATTTGCGACGAGAATGAAGAAAACGCTACAAACAAGTAAGAGAAAATCGAAATTCATAAGAACTCTCAACATTGCGCTAAACCCAGGTATGAACGAAAATGGCTCTATTCTATTCCTTTACTTTCCTTCTATGGTTTATCCTCTGTTGTATTGCTTTGTTGTATGTTGAGCATCGTAGGCAGTTTGGAGGTATAAGGTTGTGAGGGTTTACAGAGAAGTTTTAAGTTGAGATGAAGGTTGAATGTGAAAAGTGGTAAAAGTTGTGAGTTATGGTTGCGAGGGTGATGATGATGGATTGAAATTCATGAAGGTTAAGGGTATACGTGGGTCTGTTATAGAGAGTTTACAGAGAGGTTTGAGTGAGGTGATTTGGGAGAGAGATTTTAGCAGAGTTGTTGCTAGGCCAAATGTAGCTGGCTGAATGGGAGAGTGAAGAGCTGTTTAAGTAGCATGTATCTTCGGATGAGAGAGGATTGGAATGAGGTTAGAAAGGTGGTTTGGAACTTAGGTTAGGATGAAAATGTGGCTTGGAGTTTTTTAGAGGGAAGGGAGAGAAACTTGGTGAGGAAGTTTGTGAGAACATTCGAAGATGAGATTTTTTTGAGATATTTTTGCCCCTTTAAATTTCGTGATATTTTACTGATGTAATAGTAAAAAACTTAAGTGAAATTGCTGGTAGATGGAAGCCTTTGGATCAAGCCAATGGATGGTTGGGATAGGGTGATACTTTAGGAGGGAAAGTGGGATAACATTTGAATTAATTTTGGGCTAGTGTTTTTGTGCTTTATAATGCAGATTTTGTTTTGCTTACTTGTGTGCAATGGCAGGTTTCTTTTTTTGGTTTTTGCAGACTGCCTTGTAGTGGACAGTACGATAGCTATTCTTGCAGGCTGATATTGTAGCAGGATAGCAGGGCAGTAGTATGGTGGATTGGTTTAGTCATGGTTTGCAGGATTGGATAACAGTAGGTTTTGGCTGGTTTTATTTTAATGTTACAACAAGTTTGGTTTTTGTTTTCTTGTAGGTTTATAGCAATCTTATGGGCTGGTTATAGGCAGCAACCTGTAGGGTTGTTTTGGACAGCAGCTTGACGTTGTGACTTTTTTTTGTTATGATACTCCTCTTAATTTTCTGAAAATTCGTGGCTGGTGTCATTTTCTCTTTCATAATTCTGAAGGGGTTTTGTGACATTTAAGGGAAATGATGAATAGGTTTTTGTGTTTACCTTGACTCGTCTCTTCTTATTGTGGACCGAATTTATTTTGTGATTTGCAATAGGTATGTTCTTTGGCTAATGATAGAATTCAAACCTTTGTTTCTGATTCCTTCACAAAATCCCTAATGATGAATTTAAGAGAAGAAAACTTTTAGTGTGAAGGCTTATTCTTGTTCATATTTATTTCTTGTTGGCTAACCGAATATTTTTCTTTGATTTGTTTCATGTGATGGTATGGAAAAACGGCTAGGCAATTTATAATAAGAAATCACGGATAGGCTTGAAGGGAAATGGTGATGAAGTCTTGTAGAAATGGGGCTGCCATGAAGCTTAAAGAATATCTTGAAGATTTCGGGATGATTTAAACATGTTTACGACTTAAGAATTAGGATTAGGCCTTGGATGTAAAGTCCCTTTAAAACTTGCATTTTGAAATTGATCTTTGAATCATAAGTTGTAACTAATAATTTGCAATTGTAACTTGAATTTTGGTCTTTGAAAAAGTCTTAGTAAGCATTTGGATGAAACAAAATAATGTCCTTGTAGTTTCCTTAAAAGAGTTTCTTCCATTTTGAATCTTGAACTAAAGACAAATTCATATAAATGAATTATGCCTTGTATGCTTGAGATGAATTGAAATCAAAGGCATCATTTGAAATGGATCCTCAAATCTCCTTCACTAAAAATCTAAATTACAACTTCAATTCATAGTAACTCGCAATACAAATCAATGGTACTTGAGTGAACAAATAGTGCCTTAAGAAACTCGATCAAAAATCCATTGTAATCTAATAATCACCAATGCTCAAACCCCAACGATTTGAAATCAACGACTAACAACCAAGGAATCCCCGAGCTCAACATAAGAATCAATATCTTGAGAAAACAATTATGGCATGAGTTGAAATTAGAAGTTAAAAACATTCTAAACCACGAAAATGGCCTATGCAATTCGATAACTTTCAAGGTTTTCTAAACACAATTTTCCTTCGATTCTTGAAGAGAACTTGTTAATGACATTTCTTATAACAATGTGCAAAAATAATCGTCTTAAGATCTTGAAAATTTAGGAAATTATGATTCTTGGAAATCAGGCACCACTTACTTGAGATTTCCATAAAGTGACCTTTAAAGTATTTGAATTTTTGATGATCTTTCGCACATAATCGGCTCTTGACTTGTAAAGAGAAGTTCGAGATGGCGTCAGGTAGAGTCATATGCAAAAAGAACCACTCCAAAATACTGAATAATGAAGAAATTACAATCATTTGAACTTGATCTTGAAAAAGTCGACTTTGGGGTTAATGCAGCTGATTTTCAGTCATCTGAACCATTGACAGAGTAAACTTGTGATGCGACGTTTGAAACTCGACACGAGCATCCTTGAGAGTACATGAAGAACCATGAAGACCACTTGAAAATTCGGAAACTCAATTTTGCTTGAGAAATACTAAACTCTAGTCATGGACTCAATGCTTAGGAGGAGAATTCGCCTGATCAAATCCTGAGCCATTTTGAGTATTTGAGAAACCCTAGGATAACATCTTGAATGAAAAAAAATTAGACGGCAAATTTTGGGGTACAACACATGGTGTTGAGTTTGACTCCACAAAAAATGGATGGAGGATTTTAATAATAGTTTGATTAAATTTTTGGTTCAAATGTGGTTTAATTCTTATCCACATCCCTCTTCATCTTATCCCCTTCTTATTGTACTAAATGTTATTGGAGAATTATTTCCATATCATTTCTAAAAACATATGGTAAATAGATTTCTGTTAACCGGCCTCAAAATAGGTGCGACTTCTATATAAGTACACTTACGATTGCTTAACATAACGCTAAATTTTGTCCTGATTTGAGAAAATGATCATTCGTGGCCCAAACCCATGTTTGTAAGCCCAAGTATGTTAATTTTAACCCTTTAATCCAATAACCTTGAGATTCATTGTTAGGAGGCTTTAGTCCTACCAATCCTCTAATGAATTTTCATCAATTTTGGTCAAATTGGATCACTTAAAGATCATTGATCATTTATTGTTTCCTTGAGATTTAAATGAATGATATACTTGACAAAAAGCAAATGCAACTTGTTGTTGAGAGGCTTTGATTTTATCAATCTTCTAATGAGTTTCAAATGCAAGTTTCAAGATGGTCATTCAACTAACCACTAATTCCTAACAATTAACTTTATTTTATGCTTTTACTTTATGTTTTCACTTTAAGCACATTTATTTTAGCATTTACATTTCATGTTATTTTCATCTTTTCTGACTTGCGCATTTACTTTTTATGTCATTTTTATTTTGCTCATTTGAGCTTTCATTTTCTTTTTGAATATACTTAATAATCAACTTGGACCATAAAGAACTTTAATGTTATCTAGACTACTTGGTTACTATCCTTGACATTATGGAGTGATGGACTTCTTGGACTTAGGATTAGAGAGAGCTTGACCTACCTTGAGACCTTGTGACCTCAACTGTTATTTTGTCTGGAGCTCTTGGGATTTACCCCAAGTTATTGGGTTGTTTGTTTGCTTTGTGTACAGGTTATTGTGATTACATGCTTTGTTTGTGATCGGGAATTCATCTGTATACAGCCGTTACTCTACCCAATTTTTGAATACTTAACGCAATTGAAGCTTGGTTTTCTTAAGAGGTTTATTATTGTTGCTTGTTTGATTTCAAATCCAAAGGATGGAATTCTACATTGACTCATTGTGTCAAGTGTTGGCTTCATGTTGGTTAGACGGTTCTTTTCCCTAGATTTTACCTTATGCTTTAGGATAGTCTCTTCATCTCCCCCCACCTTCTTTAATTTCAAAAATCTTCTCCCTCCTTTTGAAAACTCTTCTAGTTTCTAAGCTTGAACCACTTTCATAATACACTTGGACTTATGTCCATGCATTTTCAAAATATTTTCTTAATCAAACTTTAATCAACTTAACAATACCTTGACATTTTTGTGAGAAGACTAAAAGTCAATCAATCTCATTTCAAACCATTTTGCTAATTTGGCTTTTTATTTTAAAATTTTCTCAAAAGATAGACTCTTGTCAATCCTTGTAGTGATGCGAAATATTATACTTCTACGATATGTAGTAAAGTGAGATATTTTCCACTTGGGTGTTGAGTGAGGCTTTGTTGATTTTAAAATCTAAGCTATATCCTCCACTTTGAGATGATGCAAATTCTCCTTTCTCATAATTTTGGGTAGTAAGTATGTTCTTCCACTCGGATAAGACGATGATGTCTCGTCTCTTAAAATTAACCAACACCATGTGTTTTAAAAAAATTTAAAGCTGAACTATGAGTACCCTGATCCCCTATTGCATGGAAGGTGGTACGTAGGCACTAAAGGTTCGCAGCTGATAAACCGGAAATGTAACGAATATTTCGATCAATTTACATGAATTTTATCTGCATTTTAATTAATTAAATTACTCTTTATTCGTATTATGCTGGTATTTTCTATGTTTTCAGGAATTTGATGTTTGCAATGCATGTGCGAAGAAAGTCAAGAAAAGTCGAGCTAATCATATTTAAAATCCACACAAAGAAAGATAAATTATGCAATTGAGGGGTGTGTGGCAATATTGGGTGCATTACAAGTAAAAAGCCTTGGAAGTCCAAAGAAGAAACACACGTTGGGCCCAATCCACCCAAGGTCCAAGGGGTTTAACGACTGTTACACCTCACCTAACCCTAGTGTAATGACCATTACACCATTCCAAGAAAACCCTTCCTCAAAAGCAGGGGGTATAATGACCGTTACACCTTGCCACTCTAGCCCTTCCTC